GGCGGAAATAGTCGAAGCTAAGAATGTCAGTAAATCAGACTTTTCTGCAAGTTGTGAAGTGAATTCTTTCGACGTGGACCGAATGTACTTGTTAGAACCTTCCTGACCAATCGCGTTTTCGGATGAGGTCGAAGAACACCAATCTTCAAGAAGACTACCCAGCGAGTGATCATTTGTACCTAATTTAATGTTTAATAAGTGAAGGCAATCAAGCATATGAGAACCGCTTCTCAAACATTCATTAAGTTTTTCTGTTATGTTGGAATATTTAGGTACAGCTAGGAGGGGCGCTAGGGACCTGGAGTCATTACTTCCCTCATTTTTTTGACAACAATGATGAATTAAAAGAAAAGAAATTTGTAGCATCATTTGAACTCATGGCATCTAGCTCAGATTTTTCTGATGAAACAGTTGCCTTCTCCGCCGTTCCTTCCCCGTTAGAACACACTTGTAATGAGTGCACCATTATGTAGACACACACAAACAATGCTTTACTCAAGCCCCCTGTTTAATAAAGAAAGAAAACGGTAAAAAAAAAGATATCTACAGGCTAATCTAAGACAACAGCAGGTTTCTTCTCTAAAGTGTTCCTTCTGTAGGTATCTTTATTAGGTAGAATGGGAATTTAACCATTCATTCAAACAGATGATACAGACAGAGCATATATTAACTGTACAGCTCCAAGTTCTTTTTAAAGAGATCCTTCTTCAAATTGTGCGTACAACTGTCTCTATTTCTATCGTTCGTAAATCTTTCTAACCATTATGATAGCATGTACACATCTAAACCTTAATGCTGAGCCATAATGTACCTTAATCTTCAGGCATTTCGAATTAATCAAGTCTGTATCTATCGTTTATTCATCAGAGGTTAATTAATACCTATCTGTAGATTATTCAGATGTTATTCTGCAGATGTATCCAAGACAATGCAATTGTCTGTATTGTAAAGTTCATTCTTTTTGTTGTTATCATCACTGAAGTATTTACCCGAAACTACATCAACACCACACAGAAAGAGTTGAACATGTACATTGAGTTTTTGTCTATGATAAAATCATGCAAAACTGTCCACAAGCATTTTCAGCAAAATTATTGATATTTTGTCTAAATAACAAACTTGGCAAAAGGCTTCCAAATACAAAATGTTTTGTTCATATCCGAAAGTATGGAGCTTCTTCAAATTTCTTCCTAAAACTTCATACTTGATTTTTGAAAAAAAAAACTATCAATTTACATTTAAGGTTATTCTTTTTACGAAAATTATACAAAATTCTAAAAGATGATTGGAAAATCAGAGCTGAATATATTTTTAGGTCACCTGAGTCACTCAGGTGACCTATTGCTATCTGTTTTTGTCCGTCGTCGTCCGTCGTGCATCGTCCGTCGTCCATCGTCCGTCAACTTTTGAACATTTTCAGCTTCTTCTCTTGAACCACTGAACCAATTTCAACCAATTTTGGGATATAGCATCAATGGGTGAAGGGGGACAAAAATTGTGAATTTCATGGTCCCTGCCCCCCTGGGGCCTGAGATGTGGGGCTAAAACCATCAGAATTAGTGCTATCTTTAAAAATCTTCTTCTTTACTCCTGGACATCAAGCAGTCAAACTGTTGGCATGATTGTAATAAGGATTGAGGCCTAGCTCTACCAAAATTGTGAAATTCATAACCCCAGGGTCAGGGGTTGTGGTGCCAGGGTGGGGCTATATACATCATATGGTGAAAGTGCATTATTTCTTTGAAAATCTTCTTCTCTGCTCTTGGGTATTAAATAAACTAAGTACATAGTTATGTTGAGCAAGATTGCCTCTTCCAAAATTGTGAATTTCAATGCCCCTGGGTCAGGGTTCTGGTGTTAGGGCGGGGCTTTATTGATTATATAGTTAAAATGCATTAAATCTTTGAGAATCTTCTTCTCTGCTCCTGGATATGAAATAAACTAACTAAGTACATAATTATGATGAGCAAGAGTGCCTCTACTAAAATTGTGAAATTCATGGCCCCAGGGTCAGGGGTTCTGGTGCTTGGCCGGGGCTATACAGATCTTATAGTGAAAGTGCATTATTTCTTTGAAAATCTTCTTCTCTACTCTTGGGTATTATTTAAACAAATTAAATACATAGTTATGATAAACAAGAGTGACTCTACCAAAACTGTGAAATTCATAGCCCCAGGGTCAGGGGTTCTGGTGCTAGGGTGGGGCTATATAGGTCATATAGTGAAAATGCATTATTTCTTTAAAAATCTTTTTCTCTACTCCTGGGTATTATTTAAACAAATTAAATATATATTTATGATAAGCAAGAATGACTCTGCCAAAATTGTGTAACTCATGGCCCCAGGGTCAGGGGTTCTGGTGCTAGGGCAGGGCTATGTAGATCATATAGTGAAAGTGCATTATTTCTTTGAAAATCTTTTTCTCTACTCCTGGGTATTATTTAAACAAATTAAATATATATTTATGATAAGCAAGAATGACTCTGCCAAAATTGTGTAACTCATGGCCCCAGGGTCAGGGGTTCTGGTGCTAGGGCAGGGCTATGTAGATCATATAGTGAAAGTGCATTATTTCTTTGAAAATCTTCTCTACTCCTGGGTATTATTGAAACAAATTAAATACATAGTAATGATAAGCAAGAGTGACTACCAAAATTGTGAAATCCATAGCCCCAGGGTCAGGGGTTCTGGTGCTAGGGTGGGGCTATATATAGATCATATAGTGAAAGTGCATTATTTCTTTGAAAATCTTCTTCTCTACTCTTGGGTATGATTTAAACAAATTAAATACATAGTTATGATAAGCAAGAGTGCCTCTTTCAAAATTGTGAAATTCATGGCCCAAGGATCAGGGGTTCTGGTGTTAGGGTGGGGCTATATAGATCCTATAGTAAGGTGAACTTTTTATTTGATAATCTTCTTCTCTGCCCCTGGGTATTATTTTAACAAATTAAGTACATTGTAATGATACATAAGGATGCCTCTTCAAAAATTGTGAATTTCATGGCCCCAGGGTCAAGGGTTCTGGTGAAAAAGGGGGGGGGGCTCTATTGATTATATAGTGAAAAAGCAAAATTTCCTTGAAAATATTCTTTTCTTCTCCTGGTTAAAAAGCAAAGAAGCTAAGTGTATAGTTATGATGAGCAAGAATGCTTCTTCCAGAGTAGTGAATTGCATGACCCCTGGGTCAGATGTGCTGGTGTAAGGGTGGGGCTCTTGATAATATAGTGAAAATGCATTAATTCTGTTAAATAATCCTGTCTGCTCTTAGTGTTAAGCAGATAAACAAAGTTATTACTTATGATGGGCAAACTTCTGGTCCCAGGGTGAGAGGCTCTGGTGTTTCTCGCTGGGGGAGGGGGGGGGGGCTCAATTGATAAGTTTGTTAATATACTGTATGGTGATAGTGATAAATGGGGAACAGATTAGAACCTAATTTATGAACTGTTAATTAATACTAAATTAATTATTTTGTTGATCCTAATCACCCTATTTTTCTTGCTTTTGGGTAACAAAGCTTCACCTTTCAGTTCATTTTATACTCTATGGATCCTCTAAATTGTTGCATTATACTCAGGTGACCGTTAAGGCCCTTGGGCCTCTTGTTCTCTAAACTATTTGTTAATGATCCCGCCTTCCAACCCGGGCCACCTGAAAACTGTGGTACCTTGCCTAAATTCAGTTACAAATTTCGTAAGCTATATAACTGTTTTACTTTCCCTTGAAACCTCAATAAAAATAAATAATAATAAAATGTCAAGTTCGGAAAAAAAAATTAACATTCAATAAATAAGCATTCATGTAAATGACTATGTTTTTTTTTTTAATTTGCAGAATGCAATTTCAGCTTAAATGTAGTAGCTTGAAATATGAATAACTTAAGTTTTACAAAGGCAAGAAGGCATTTGTTTGATTTTATATCCTTTAAAATTAGGTAAATCACAGATAATTAAATAATATAAATAAGATGAACGTAAAAATTTTAATTATATCAGTTTTAAACCTTAAAAATTAAAAAAAAATTGTTCTTACCCTGAAATGTGAACATTTTTTCTAGAAATAGCACTCTTGCGCAAATTGAACCACGTACAGGTAATTGATTGGGAAAGAAATATAACCGACTCAAACGGCAAGTAAAATAAAAGGCGATAGTCTTCAACCTGATTTATAAATCAGATAAATATCAACATAACTAGGGAATATGCACTGGGCGTGCCCAGGCGATGTAGGGAATATCTTGCATAAATTTTGTAGACAAGAGAAAACAAGATGTGTTTGTGAAACACTATGCCCCCGATGGTAACACAATTCTGGATTGGGACGTAGACTACAGTGCAACAGTTGTGGCCAATGTTAAAGTTTTTCAAATGTAGGTCAAAGGTCACAGTTGAGGTCACATGATCAGATTTCTGTATCAATGGAAGGTCTTGTCATAATGAACACTCATGTCAAATATAAGAGCCTTACCCTTGACAGCGCAATAGTTATGGGCTAGGTTAAAGTTGACAACAAACAGACAAACAGGACAAAAACAATATACCCCCGGGATCTTTCGATCTGGGGGCATAAAAAAACGTATATTCCCATGTGAAAGTAGCCAACCCTATCCACCAGGGTGAGGAAGGTAATAATTTTAACAAATTTTAATCTGAGGGTGTCGGTAAAACGCGGAACGAAAAACGGAACGGAAAGCGAAAAGTAACCTAAAAATACAATTCCAGCTTTAATTACTTAAAATATAAAAATCATACCAGAAACGAAAAAGATTATGAAAATTTTTCGTATCCAATCCTTAAAGGGTATATGCAATGGCCACTGCAATAATTTCCGTTTGTTACGAACGTCATAAATTGACCATAGCAAAAAACCGCATCGAAATCCATGCAGTAGTTACAGAGTTATTCCGCTTGTAAAATGTCTATTTTTACCTGTACCGGAAATCCAATCAAGAGAAAATAGAAACACCCGAAAACGAGGCTCAGTTTGTGTGACGTCACAAAGAGGACGACGGCGGTGAATACAGATAGTGTTTATAGCGATTATAGCGACGAAAATAGCGATAGAGACTGTGGTTCATCAAGTTTTGAGGAAACGATCGATGAGATGACCAATTTGGGTACACAACCTTATCTTTTTGAGCCTGAAGCGAGTACAGACGAGGAATCTACGGCAGCTAGTCCTCCGGAAGCCACAAATCAAGATCGACTTGGGAACAATGACTGGTAGTTATCTATCCTATATTTGATCGTTATAAGCTTTTTCATTATTATATCTTACATTGAAGTAAACCTATGTCTTCATGTTCAATTATAAATATAAATTTCCTGTTATCTTTACTACAATGTCTGTATACATTCGCTGAAACTAGGTGCGGGGTTCGAATTTATATGGCTTCCTACCTATCAAATGTATCGCTAGATTTAAATAGATAAACTCTATTTATCCGATAATTTCAAAGTATCTAACGATAGTAAACTTGTCAATTGAATATTTTAACTTTATTCTACCTCTAAGCCTCACAAATTCCAGCTGAACATTCATGCATAATACCAGACCATAGCCTTTTTTTAATACAAATTTTCTTTTCTTTTTTTGGATAGAATCTAGGCATAACTTTTTTGTTCTTGAAATGTTGGTATGTAATCTGCCTTTAAAACTCAAAAATATTATTTTATGTAATTTGAAATGAATTATCGTGCCAGTTTTCACAATTTTAGGTCAAGTTTTTGTTTTTAGTTGCAAGTTCTTTTGAGAACTTGTTAGTTGTCACAAGTATGGTATATAAATCTCCCCCACCAAAGCTAAAGACTGAATTAAATTTGAAAAACATATTACGTCCAAAAGTAATTTATTCTTTCAGAGTTATGTGAAACCTTGGCTTTATACTCTCCTGAATGTATTAGTAAAACATGAAAAACTGAAATATTTTTGTAGGTGTACCTGTGGTCGCTGCCCCCCAGTGACTTCTATTGCAGAGTCTGTGTGCTGTCAGGAAATTCCACAAGTAATGGCTGTACTTGAGGGAGATCCCGGGAAGCCATGCATCATAGAACACACTGGTTTTCAACCAGTATGTCTGCATCCATCAGTTCTTCGTACTGCATACTATGTGTATCGACAACAGTATGAAGAACTCCCCGAAACTGATCGGTAAGTATCAATACAGATTATAATTTGAATATTTTTCAGGACATTAAAAAATTATATATTATTGATTTTAAAAATGAAAACAAGAAACTGAAGTCAGGTTTCATCAGTTCAAGAATCTTTAATAATTGAAACAACTTTTGAAATAACTTTTTAAATAACTAAACAAACAAAATTCCATGAGATTAAAATGTAAAAACTTTATATATAGATATATATCATGCCTGCATGAATTGTAGATTCTATAGACCGTAAAATGATTTGCATTTATATTAAACAAGAACCATAAAAATAGGTACAACAGTCACAACTAGATAGTAATGCATGAACAAAACAAGAATAAAGATAACAAAAAAACCTGTAAATTTTTTTGACAGAAATAACTAACTCTTCCCCCCCCCCCCCCCACACACAAAATGCACATTAGTAAAAAGTCAACAACAATGTCAGAATATTCTATCCTAATCTAGAGCCAAAAGGCAAGTACTTGAACATGACCAATGCAACAAATAAAAACTGCAAAGAATCAAAAACGACAAACATTAACCAAAAATGAAAATTAACTGAAAATGCATACATAAAACAAACAGACTAGACAACAACAATAAAAATCAATGAAAAAAAAATCAAAACAGCAGACATAACCAACTATATGAAACAATTGAAAATTCATAAATAAAACAGACTAGACAACAACAGTTAAAGTCTATTTAAAAATATCAGAACAGGAATCTTAACACAAAAAGGGAAATAACTGAAAATACATAGACAACAGTAAAAGTCAATAACAGAATTTTTAACCAAAAATGAAAAGTAAAATGGTTTTAGTCATCAAAAACCTCTTAAAACTTGTAATATTTTACAGGCGGATGCGCTACATAGGGTACAGACAACTTGCTAGATGTGTTGGGGATGGTTGGGGAGACAAGTCGTGCACCACTTCCTGCTTGTGCTGTCTAGAAAATCCGGGACACATATCCAGAGGAAGATGGTGAATACCAAGGATTCAACATGGCCTAATTCCTTCGGAACCTTGACAGCATCTGACCCACCGCATCACGGTGGCGGTGGTGCAACTCCAAGATTCCCACACTGTGGCATCTTCATGTTGATGGCCCGCGTCTTTGCAGCGTTTGTAAGAACATCAATATAGTCTGAAAGAGAATTTGTGTCCATTAAATCTAAATGACAGTTCTGAAACCTGTTTATGTTACTTTTTATCTCTATCTATATTTATCTGTGATATTGCGATGAAGATATAATAAATTTACCATAAGTACTTTGCGTCTTGATTTTCGTCGCAGTGTAGTCACCCTTTTTGTGTTAGGAAATACAATGCTGTATTGTAGATTCCCCTCTCTTGTGGCTGCCTGATCCTTACTGGAATTCTCACTGTAGTGAAGTGCTGCTAAGGCCAAGCTATAATTGAAAACAATACGAGATTATAATTTATTTTGTAGATCGTATTTATTTTGTGTATGTCACTGTTTTTCTATAATGACACTGAGTACAAAAACAAATATTAAAAGTATTGTTCAGTACGCAAGTCAACATACCGACTTTGCATTCCAAAGTAGGAGAATTTGTACATCTTTGGCGCAAACTGGTTTATGACACATTGAAATGCCTCTACACTTGAAGTCTGAAATGATGACGAGAGCATGGGATGTCCTTCTTCATTTGCCTGCTACTCACAATGGTTTCTAACTTCTCCATCACTCTGGTTCCTGAAAGAAAAAAAAATGTTAATTTTTACAAGTTTTTACATTTTTTTTTGGGCTAATTTCTTTTGTTAATTCCTTTTTGTTAATTTTTTTTAATTTTAAACGTTGCACCAAGTCCCCCCCCCCCCCCCAATGCGTTTTTTTCTCCATTACAGTAAATGATAGTGATATCATACATATTGTGTATTTTTTAATTGATGACTATATTAATAGAACTTAAAAAAACTGTATGTGAATGTTACCTGGTCTCAACCGTCTTTTCTGTCTAGCAGTTGGGTCAAGGTCCCCATGTTCACACCGTTGAAAACGTTGCCCGTGATCTTCATGAATGTTCTGGACATGGTTGGTTATACTAGTCCACTCTTCCCATTTGAACTCATTGTCTTCAACATCAGGTGCTGAGGAGGGTACCCAATACAAATGGTTTACCAAACTTTTTATCCACTCTCTAAGGTGCTCGCAATCCTTTTCTTTGCTGAGGGCCAACAGCTTCTTCTTAAAACCTAAAAGTGAAAACATGATTACTTACATGTTCACCCTGACTAACTAATTAAGTAACCAGTAAGAAATGCATATGTGATGCTTTTACTTTGTGTGCAATATTTTCTCCCACCAATTTAAAAAGACATGCTCTATTTTCATACCTTTTGCTACATGCCACACATCAATGCTATGTGTTGTATCTGGTAGGTTCTCATGCAGCCACTTCGCACCTGAAGATGTCTGTCAGTCACTATCTGGCTTATTGGTACCCCATTCTGCTGAAGGTAACGAACACCTCGGATCAAACCCTCTTTCTCCATCAGGCAACTCTTCGCCCGCGTGGCGCAGTGGTTAGAGCGTCTGCTCTAGAGTCGCGGCAAAAGTGTTGATCCTTACGTCGCTGGTTCGAATCCCATTGTGGGACGTGGATACCGGTCCTTCGGATGAGACCGTATAAACCGAGGTCCCGTGTCGCAGTAGGTGTTGGCACGAAAAAGATCCCTCGCTGCTCAATGGCCGTAAGTGCCGAGTATAGGACAAAATTTGCAGCTTTCAACCGGCAAGTGGTGGCGTCTCCATATAAGTGAAAAATTCTCGAGAGGGACGTTAAACAACATACAAACAAAACATAAGGCAACTCCCACCTACTTCATTACTCTTTAGGATTAAAAGAAAATTGCAATTCTAATATCACTTAAGTTTACAACACAGGGAAAGAACAAATTTTTATATAATCATTAAACTATTAAAATAACATTTTTCCCCTATAATTGTATTTACCTGTACAAGTTGCAGATCCACCACCACATTCTTTTCAAGGTCCATAAGAGTGTAACTCCCAAATTTAGCACAATGGCCGGGTGTATCTGCCCTTCCATCTCCACCTAAATGTAACTGCCGCCACAACGCCCGTGCTTCTTGTACATAAGAGGCTTGTTGGTCTCTCCATACTTCAATCACTGTTGGATGGAGGTAGCACTGTTGGTGATACATTAATGTCCTGTAGGAGATGGAAGCCATGTTCAAACACTTGAACATTCTGACTGCTTTGCATGGAAGAGATACTGAAAATAGCAAGGCACAGGATATTTCAAAATTCCCTGCAGGAATGCTTCCAATCAGGGGGCTGGCTACTCCAAGTCCGCTGGTAGAAACAAAATCTGCAGTCTTGAGTGATAGAGATGAAGGATCCCTTCAGTTGTTTTATCTCCCCATAAGTTGGTTGTGCACAGGAGGGACAATTTGCAAAGAGTTCCATGAGCTGACATTCATATACCAGTAATTTCCTGTCACGATCATCCCTGAAATAAAAAAAAATATTGACATAATTATGTGCTTCAAACCTTTATAATGTTAGACATTCCTAATTGACAAAATGATTAAATGTTATGAAAATATGTTGTACTTTTTGTAGGATTTATTACTGTAATCAAAGAATTGTGATTACCCATTTTTAGTGACATTTAAAATAATTTTAAAAAGAAAAAATTCTGGATTACCCAAGGTCACTTCTTATTGAAGTCACCAAAAAAAACAGTCAACTTCCTTATTAAGTTTAAAAATGCTTGCCGATATTCCTTTTATTGGTAAAACCCACAGTGGATTAAACCAAAGCAAAGGTATTCTTTTCGACAGGGATCACGACCTGGATGACATTCCTGAACAGGAAATACAATCTGAATTGGAGTCCCAGGGAGTGGTCTCTGTGAAACGGTTTACTAAAAAGCGGAATGATAACATAGAACCGACATATACCTACCTTGTGACTTTTGGTATGCCAACATTACCTACAAGGTGGGCTTTATCAAATGAAAGTTGAAATGTTCGTTCCAAATCCCCCTCGTTGTTTCAAATGTCAGCGATTTGGACATGGACAGTCCAATTGTAAAGGCTCCGAAGCATGCTTCAGGTGTGGTGAGGAGGGGCATGATGGCAAAGGTTGTCAAAACGCCCCCAAATCCCTAAACTGTAAGGGTGGGCACATGTCTTCCTCCAAACAATGCCCAATGTGAAAAAAGGAGAATAACAAAAAGTTAAAGTCGAAAAAAAATCTTATCAAGAAGCCAAAAAATTGGTTAACCTGTACAGTGTTCCGAGACGAACTTTACGTACGCAACTGTTTTAAAATCGTCCTCTTTGAAGGACACTTCTACACAGGTCTCTGAGAAAGACTTTCTTCAACAGACTTCATCATGTAAAGAACCTTTGTCATCTAATGACAAAAGTAAGCCTATTTCAAAACCTGCTTCTGCAGGCCCTGCAGTTGCGGCTGCACCAAATCTGTAGCTACGACTACATCAAAACCAGCAGCTGCGGGTAAATCAACATCACCAGGGAGACATAACAAATCTCCCTCAAAAAAATACCCCAAAACAGTCAAGTGATCGGTTGTCCAAAGGGGTTGTCACTCTCCACATAACACCATGCCATTCTTCCTCGAGAGTCCGAAGCGTTTCACCAAATAAAAATAAAAGGAGAATATCCCCCATTTCTCATAATAAATAAAAATGATTCATCCTACTTTTATACAATGGAATTGTCGAGGTTTTAATTTTAATGAATTGTCTTTACTCATTCAGGATCACTGCCCAGTAGCTATATGTTTACAAGAACAAATTTAAAAGAAACAGATAAAATTAATATTAAAAACTATACAGCCATTCTCCAGAAATGGTTCCATTAATAGGATAGCAAAAGTTGAAAAATAAACTTTTGATTGTTGTGTTCAAATTGTTAAAATATTTTACTACAACCATTCACCGACATAAATATGAAATTTGACTCACGGATGTTTCTTCGTTTTCGAAAAAATTGATTTTTAAGACAGTACTTAAAATCATGTTACGGAAGTCAGAAGTAAATACACGCCACTAATCATCGGCCGAAACACAAAAAATAAACATCACAGAGCACTTTATTTGTTATTTTACTGAAGACCAATTTTAATTCTGTCAAAATCTTTAAGAATTAAACTTCAAGACACATATTTTGGAAAAATACTCATGTCTCAACAAAATCCCTATTTTTCACACCAAAAAGACAACTATGTATTAACTTTCATTCAAATTTGAAAGCAAACTATGAAGAATATCTTATATTCAGATATTTTAAATAAAAAACCAAATTCATGAAACACTTATGCAGAGAAGTTAAGAAAATTTCAATTCACAAATTTAAGTTGAGAGATCTTCAAAAATAAAGACCATAAAAGTTACGGATGTCAGCATGTGAACATTTTCTAGGAGTATAAGCTTCAAATACATTTTTCAACTGAATAGTAGGGGGAAAAAATGAAATATAGATTATACGTCATAGAAATTATTGATTACTTAATGTAATTTGAACTTGAAAAAGAGCGAATTCTTGTCAGTAAACAGCAATTAAATGAATTTAAAAAATGTAGAATTCTGGTTTATTTGTCAAAAAAAAAGTGAAGAAATGTACAAAAATTACATGCCCTGATAGATCTCCAGTCTACAATTTTGTAAGTTCAAAAGATAATAATATATAGTATATTTTTGAAAATTGAAAGCTTCTATATGTCTCACAACTCTGTTACGGATGTCAGAAAGTCTCCTCTTGCAAATAATTACTCTGAAGATATCTTACAATAGTCTTGAAATTTATTGTTTATAGTTTTCTCAACTAAGTCAACTTTTCAAGTTAAAAAAACTGGATATTTTCCCTAGAGGGATTGGGGAGGGGGGGGGGGGCTTATCACCATTAAAATATGAGCTGATTGAACCATTAACTCTTTTTTTTCAAATGGCTACTTATATATTTTTTCATATTTGCACACTTTGGTCATGGAGTTCACCCGAACCTCCTACTCTTCATAATCTCTCTCTGTAACTTTTCCAATATACCACTAGTGAGAATAAACTGTAGCTCATTTAACACTAGTTCCTAACTCATCACGTTCCCCTGGCGTGGCTTTTTCCTAGATAGTTTCACTGTGACTTCATTCTAGAACTCCCTACCACCTCTTCTGCTTTTCTTTGCTTGCATCTATAATAGGACTTTCATTCAAGCTCTTTACCTGACTTTTTCTTTCTTTTCTTCAATTCCCTTTGATTTAACTCTAAAACACTTATGTAAGCCTTCCGTTTTCTCTCTCACTCGTTTACTGAATACACTCATATATTTTCACTTTTCTTTCTCTCCATCTTTTCTGTCTTTCTGCATTTGTTAATAGCATTCTGTAAATAATGCATATAATTATGCATTGGTATAAGCTAAATTAAATATTTTTTTTCTTAAGAGAAGTCATTTATTCTAAGTAAGATTCGTTATGGGTGTCAGGTCTCATAAAACCTGATATCCGTAACCAATACTATTTAGAATAAATTTGTTACCAGACAGTATTAAACAAATAATTTAATCTGTACACAATACAATTTTCATATGTGCATATCAATACAATATTTCAAAGTGCCAAATAAATTTTGTTCATATGGTAATTTTTTTTCAAATATGTCTGATACACAAATATCTGATCACA